CTTCAAAAAAAACCCATTAAAAAACCAACAAAACAAAGTTTAAGGAGTATAGGAGTTTCTTAAAAGCCAGAAACTTGAGTGTTGTTCAAGGACTGGGAGCATGTTTTATTCCCCATTATTATTCCCAACATTTTGCAAAATCCCTGGCACAAGGTTGATACTGAATAGATACTTTTTCAATGATAGGTCTGTGCTGAATTGTGGAACACTCCAAAATCTTCTTTGTTTAGTTTACATCAGTGACATCTCAGTCAGCCAAAAAGAAGAAAAAGCAAGGAGAGGTATGCATGAGTGATTTCAGCAGGTCAACCTTGGAAGTGTCACACATCATTTTCTTTTTATACTTCATCACTGAGAACTTAGTCACATGGCCACACCTCACTACAAGGGAGAATGAGAGATGTAGTCCAGCTATGTGCTCAAGGAGAATAGCTTTGATAGGAAACTTGTGACTGCAAATATACAAACAGTAGTTAGTTTGCCTTAGAGATTGTCTAAAATGATGGAAGATGTTTATTGCCTTTGTATTAATAAGCTATACGGTGAAGCTTTGTTTAACTGTCCCACGGGAAGCTGAAATATTCAAATGCAGACAGTATTTAAAATCATAGGTTCTTTTTTAGCGCTGTCTGCTCCCGGTGCTGCCTCCTGCTCCTTCTGCCACTGGGGCTGCCCTTAGTCACTCCCAGCGCAGCTTTGGCCGCCTAACTCCCCGAACTAGCTGCTGATATTTGCAGTTCTTACAACATGGCAGACATTGACAACAAAGAACAGTCTGAACTTGATCAAGATTTGGATGATGATGAAGAAGTAGTAGAAGAAGAAACTGGTGAAGAAACAAAAATCAAAGCGCGTCAGCTGACTGTTCAGATGATGCAAAATCCTCAGATTCTTGCAGCCCTTCAACAAAGGCTTGATGGTCTGGTAGACACACCAACAGGATACATTGAAAGCTTGCCTGGGGTAGTTAAAAGAAGAGTGAATGCTCTCAAAAACCTTCAAGTTAAATGTGCACAGATAGAAGCCAAATTCCATGAGTAAGTTCATGATCTTGAAAGGAAGTATGCTGTTCTCTACCAACCTCTATTTGATAAGCGATTTGAGATCATTAATGCAATTTATGAACCTACAGAAGAAAAATGTGAGTGGAAACCAGATGAGGAAGAAGTTTCAGAGGAGCTGAAAGAAAAGGCCAAGATTGAAAATGAAAAAAAAAAGATGAAGAAAAAGAAGATCCTAAAGGAATTCCTCAATTTTGGTTGACTGTTTTTAAGAATGTTGACTTGTTCAGTGACATGGTTCAGGAATGTGATGAACCAATTGTGAAGCATTTGAAGGACATTAAAGTGAAGTTCTCAGATGCTGGCCAGTCTATGAGTTTTATCTTAGAATTTCACTTTGAACCCAGTGAATATTTCACAAATGAAATGTTGACAAAGACGTATAGGATGTGATCTGAACCAGATGACTCTTCTACCTTTTCATTTGATGGACCAGAAATTATGGGCTGTACAAGGTGCCAAATGGATTGGAAAAAAGGAAAGAATGTCACTTTGAAAACCATTAAAAAGAAGCAGAAACATAAGGGACATGGGACAGCTCTTACTGTGACTAAAACAGTTTCCAATGATTCTTTCTTTAATTTTTTTGCTCCTCCTGAAGTTCCTGAGAGTGGAGATCTGGATGATGCTGCCGAAGCTATCCTTGCTGCAGACTTTGAAATTGGTCACTTTTTACGTGAGCGTATAATTCCAGGATCGGTGTTGTACTTCACTGGAGAAGCTATTGAAGATGATGATGATGATTATAATGAAGAAGGTGAAGAAGCGGATGAGGAAGGGGAAGAAGAAGATAAGGAAAATGATCCAGACTATGACCCAAAGAAGGAGCAAAACCCAACAGAGTGCAAGCAGCAGTGAAGCAGGATGCGTGTGGCCTTGAGGATAACCTGCACTGTAATGGCCTAAACACAACTATTATTTACTTACAGCCTTATGTTTTTGTATTTTCTTGGTAGACTCAGTAATTTTTAAAGGAATTGATATTTTAAAGACCAATTTGTTTAACTAGCATTTTAACTATAATTTCACTGTCAGATACATTGATTCAGATTCTCTGAAACATGTTCATTCATTGCTGCAAGTTGGTTCTTTGCATCATATAATAATTGGAGTATAACTATGAAAATTAACTTTTTTCCTGAAGAACCGAAAGTTTTCCTGCTAGTAGTAGTAGAGTGGGTTTAAGTCAGTTGCATAGTTGCGGTTTTCATTTTTTTTTGTCACAAAAATGCAGTGACTTATACTAAGACAATTCATCATTTAAAGGAAAAAAATAAGCATGTGATTAAGAATTTCCAGTAAGACCAAATCTGATAATTGTTAGCTTATTAATGGAGTTTTATATTTTAGGTGATAGTTAATTATAAAGAAGCCTAACTTACGTGGTTATGGTTACCAGAGGGAAGTGAATAAAACCTAGAATTTGCAGAAGTTAAACTGATGCTATTTTAGTGTGCTTCTAAATTTAACACCTATTAACTAAGCGTCTTTTCTTTGTGGTAGTGTCTACCTTCTGCTTTCCTGGAAAGGATGACTTTACATCATTTGATGAGCCTATTTCACGTTTTTTGGTTGTTTATTTGCTTCTTTTTGTTTTTTGCTGCCTAAAATAAAAATGTTAAATGCAATTTTAGTTCTCACAAGGTAATGTCCTAATTTTGTACTAATTCAGGTTAGAAGCAGAGGTTTAACTCGGATTAATGATTATTGTGCCCAGTTTAACATATTGAAGGAAAAGGAGCCAACTTTGGAAGACCTGATAAGCAAGTGGAAAACAAAAAGTAAAAGCATAAAACCTCTAAATGGTGTGATACATTTTTTTAAAAGAAGAAAAGTTACATTTCATAGTTTTGGATTATAACTAGAGAGAAAGCCCTAAGCCTCTATGGTCTATTCTGATCCTTAATTGCTTACCTATGTCAGTTACCCATGTTTCTGTTTACTATGTATTAAAATGGGTAGTACTGTTTACTTAACTACCTCACAGATGTGTTAAGGCATAGTACATTAAATTTCATGAACTGTTTCTCAGTCTTTTAAAGCCTTAGAAATTTGAACTTATTTGTACCACATTGTGATACTCAGAATTTTATTCATACCAGGATTTGATCATTAAACTGGAAAATGAAGTTTAAACACCCCTTTTGTGGATCTGGCGGCCAGAAAGCACTCAGAATTCATGTGGCTGCTATTTTAGTGAAAATGGATGGGGATGGGTTTGTTTCAAAAAGTTCAGGAATCTTTTTTTCCTCCACTATTCTAGATGAACTTATTGTGTAAATAGTATAGAGATTATGGGCCTAAAGTGGTAATAAGACCATTTGGGGGAGGGGAATGCCATTAAGTTTGAGACTTTGGAGCCACATTTAAATTACCTCAGGCTAATTACTGTTAATTTGGGGGGGATGAATTTATTTTTGATAATGAGAGTGGAGTAATTCAAGAGGAAGTTCTAGAGTTCCTGCTGTTAATAAAATTACTTTGAGTTGATACATTTTTACAGGTGATAGTTTTCTTTTTGAAAATTTAGTATTAAGGACTTAAAATGTAAACACATTTGTGTGAAATTATCCATACCTCTTGAGACTCTTAACTACTGGAAATCCTTAACCAATGACAGTAGTTTTTTCCTTTTTATTTTCAAAATTTTGATTAGACTTTCTATGTTGTTTTTTTGTAACCATATTTCATCTAAACATAGCTTTTTCTGATTTTTAAAATTTTAATCTAAAGATAGAATCTCATTTTTAATTAACTTAAAGGAGTAACAAAATCACTTTTTCCTGTTCCTTTAGGAAATAGCTATTCCCAAAGTGAAGAGGTAGATGATATTTCATGCTGTAATGAAATAGGGTTGTGGTTTGCAAAAGAATTGTTTTCTTCGTACAATTTGAATTTCAAGAGATGTCAGTGTTCATTTATGCCATTTCTTCATTCCAAGATGGTTCTATTCCATTTTAGAAATTTGAAATATGTAATTTGAAATCCTTAAATAAAAATTGGACTTAGTTTTATAAAATAAAAAATATAAAATAAAATAAAATCATCATTGACAGTTTAGCTCCTTATTGAGTCACTTACCAGGAAGTAGCAGCTGGAGGGTGACTTACACTGCTGATCATTCCTTAATTATTAATCACTGACACTTTGTAGATTGCCTCTAAGTAAAATCCCAGCTGAATTAGTATACAATATTGTAATGTTGGTCCCCAAATATTATTTCTTCTGTTGCATGTTTAGGCTAGAGAGGATGTTAAATAGATGGCAAAAGTAGCAACCTGATTCACTGCAAGCCAACAAAGAAATGCTCAAAACAAAACAAGGAAAAAAAAAAAGGCAAAATCAAAAAAGGAACTAATTTCCATTTCAAACTATAGTTACAGCTATGGCATATTCTCTGCCAATTTGTTTGCCCAGACTGCACATTAGATGATGACTTCACAAAGGCTAGGGGAGTGAGTAGAAGTGACCCACTTTGAAATGAAATATCCTCATGATTCTTTGCTAAGAATGTCTAAAGGGAATTTGTAAAACCACTGCTCAGGCTCTATCTCCCACCTTTACCCCAGGGTTGCATTCAGCGAGCCTGTGATGGTACCTGGAAATCTGGATATTTCATGTTCCTTGGAAGTTTTTGATGCAGAGCTAGATTTGGGGAACCACTGCTCTAACTTGGTGGGAGGAGAAACAGGGAGACATGCCAAAGCACAAACCTAACAATGGTTTTGTTTTAATACATGAAAAAATATAGTCAACCCTAAGGAAAATTTAGTGTCATAGCTTGACATATAGAGCTGTCTGTGAGGTTAGACCTGTTTATGGAAAACAACCCTCTTCTAGGGATTAGCCATTCAGCTGACTGTAAATGGAAGAGGTATTATGAATGTAGATTTCCTCCTGGATATCCCAGATGCCTAACTTGTTCTTTTCTTTTTGCAGTTTGTTGCTCAGCCCAACTGCCAACAGTTGCTTGCCACCCTGTGGTACGATGGCTTCCCTGGATGGCGGCGGAAACACTGGGTAGTCAAGCTTCTGACCTGCATGACCATTGGGTTGCTGTTTCCCATGCTATCCATAGCCTATCTGATCTCACCCAGGAGCAACCTTGGGCTGTTCATCAGGAAACCCTTTATCAAGTTCATCTGCCACACAGCATCCTATTTGACCTTCCTCTTCATACTTCTCCTGGCTTCTCAGCATATTGTCAGGACAGACCTCCATGTACAGGGGCCTCCTCCAACTGTGGTAGAATGGATGATATTGCCTTGGGTTCTAGGTGAGTCAAAGAGACCAGGAGCAATGGCCAGACTGCTTTCTGATCCTGTTTAAATAAAATACTAGAAGAGGAAATCAGACTAGCACTGAACTAGGACACCTTCCCTCTATGCAGTGGAGTAGTCCTTTGTTGAAGATCTGTGAAATGTGGTTCTTTCTGTATCAGACCCTGGTATTCAGTGTTGCGTGGTTCATGATGAGATTGGCAGTGTGTTCAAGGCTCACCTCTGCTAACCTAACATCTTCAAGAACAGAGAAGTGGCTATCAATTTGTGTAGACAGAAAAGCCAAGTATCAGTCAGGACAGGCCTCAGGTAAGCTAGGCAGGGAAAGTACTGGTGAGTCTATTCAAAGCCTTCTTTCCCATAACCAGTAGGCACATAGATGCTGATGTTTCTCATGGCTACTCCATATAATTCTAATATTTGTTCAGGTCCACATCCTATTTGAACACTAATTCCACAATCAGGAAGGAAATCTAGAAAATTTATGCATGTAAATGGTAAAAGCAGCTCTACTAGTAGCCTCCAGACATAATTAGATGGCATTGGCCTCTCCAACACATGGTCAACCTCTAAGTCTTTGTCACTCAAACTATGGTCCCCAATCCAGCAATATCAGCATCATGTAGGACTTTATTACACATCTCAGGTCCCAGCCTGAATCTTCATGCTAATATGATTTCCAGATGATTTGCATGCACTTAAACATTTGAGAAGTTCTGTCTTTAAAGTTTGAGAAGTGTCTTTTACTGTTTTCCATATTATAAGGGTAAAGACGCATGTATATCACAAGGTAAAATTCCATAAAACTCGCATATAGTGAAAAGAGAAAAGAGGATACTAAATTATTTGGGGCTGCACTGCCTCATTCAGTCTTAGTATCTGGTAATTTAGAGCATGGTCAAGCTTGGTTATTTCAAAATTCCTGAGGAAGTTTTGTGTCCAGTACCTAATGGAAAGTAGGGACTCTGGGATAATGCTGATCTAATCATTCTAATGATGATATTACATCTGCTCCAAAGTGGAAGAAGGTACAATCAGGCACCTAAAGTTGTAATAGAAAAAGAAAGACAAAATTCCAAAAACTTTCCAGTAACTATGCTAAAAGTGAGTAGTACCAAGAAAAGTATAAGTTATGAGCATGTTCAGGAAAAGACCATTAGGTTTGACAAGTTTGAGGCAGGGAGATGAGGTAGGCAAGAAAAAGAAGTAGCAATTACTGTCTCTTGAGCTTCACTCCACTGACCCCAACTCACGCATTGATTTCATCTTTATTCATTGGGGGGATCCTACTGTGATGACCAGGACTGCTCCTGTATAGAAATAAAATTTTTGCCATTTTTCAGGTTTCATTTGGGGAGAGATTAAGGAAATGTGGGATGGTGGATTTACTGAATACATCCATGATTGGTGGAATCTGATGGATTTTGCAATGAACTCCCTCTACTTAGCAACTATTTCCTTGAAAATTGTGGCCTATGTCAAGGTAAATTGGAGTGTCTGGGATTTTTCTTATGCACTGATTTTGATTAATAAACTTTTGCACTGGGAGCATGAAGAGTTTAGGGAAAAGCAATGATGCCATTTCCAGCCATGTGGGAAAATATCGTATAAACCGACATTCTTGAGATGGTTTGAAAGCACTGTCTGACTAAGCAAAGAAAATGGAGAATGGAACAATTTGTAAATTAATCATTAGTTTCTTAGACTCTCAGGTTAAAAATGCCTTGGGGCTGGGGATTTAGCTCAGTGGAACCGCACCTGCCTCAAAAACACAAAGAAAGATCCCCGGTACCAAAAAAAAAAAAAAAAAAGTCTTCAGCCTTCTGTGCTTAAATCTTTTCTACAGTGTTCTTGCCAAGAGGATGGCCCACTGATGCTCCAAAGGCAGACATCAAAAATTCACTGAATTCACTATCTCCATAAATTTCTCTTAGCCCTTGTCACTTCACTTAATAGAGCTACTTTATATTTGTCTAAAATAAAGATATATCCATGAGTAATCCTTCATCCCTGTTGGGTCATACAAAACAAGGCAGTTCTTTCTCCATAACAGAGCTTCCAGTGTGATGTCATCTCTCTCTTACCAGCTGAGTTATTCCTTCCCAAAGCTATACATTCCCACCTCCCTCAGCTGTTCATGTGATAAGTAACAGAACCCAAGAAGCTTCACTGCAAGAACGGACACTTTAATGACTTTTGCCTCGCTCATCAATTCCACCACCAGGATAATTATTCAAGCAGTTATGAATCCAGCTTTTTGAATATCACTTACCTTATGCCTCTGTAACAGTTCGGATAACACACACACACACAGGCATGCACACACACACACATAGATGCAGGCATACACGAAAGCACACACAACTTTGCTGCTTTCCAAACCCTCACTCTGGCTAGTCACAGGTCTGAGTTCATATTTGGTGCTTATTAAATAATGAGATGGTTATGCTACTTCTTGCTGTGAGTTTAACTTTTCCACCATGAGGGAAAGATGGCAATTCATCTCCAAGATTGTCTAGTCAGCCATGTTTTTTGGCACCATATTCCACATTAAAGAGTTTTAGAATGAGAAGATGGCATTTCCCACAAATCTCCAACAACTTAGTTTATTTTTGTATCTGTAATATGCATATTGCATAAATTTTAAGACCTTGGGAGATATGTACAGTATGAATGTTGAATGTGGTCATGAAACAGTTTTGAAAGGAGCCCAAGAGTATGCCTTATATGTGACGATCATTTAACACATACTTACAACTTCCTTAAAAAAAAAACAACTAGTGAGGAAAATGTCTGAGTATCTGGTTAATGTGCCTGGTGAATTCCATGTCATTCTGGCACTCTGAAGACTAAATGACACATTTTTCTTTTTAAAAAACTCTTTCTTTAGAAATATTTATACACTTGAGAAACAATAAATTATCAATCTACATATTGCTAAATTTTGTTTACACAGGATAGTTTAGAATAAATGATGAAGTAAAGAATTAACATTTGAGGATACAAAAATATTTCTATAGATGCTCAACATTAACTAATCACATAGATTATCCAACTGAAAAATAAATAAATAAATTATCCAACTTCATGTATAAAGCTTCCAAAGAGCTAGACACTTGCCCAGGAAAAACTATAAGATAAATCACTCTACTAAGCTGACAAATGCTCCTCTTAGCACTTAACCCAAAGGAGATATGAGGAACACATGCTACATGTTAGACTGGGATTTGTAATGAGAACTTATAAGTGGGCAGAGTCTGGTGCACTTATCCACAGAAGCACAACCAGTATGAGATGACCCTCTCAAAGCAGACCAAGCCAGTTACTATGAGGTAAAGCTATAACAGCACTCTACAGAACCTTTGAAATGTTTCAGATCACTGTTGTACTGAAGCATAGAGAAGTATCAAGAGATGAGTTGGCTTTAAATAAGATCCTTTATTAGAGTGAAAAATTAGTTAACATATACTTCACCTCACATGGTCCACAGCAACAAAACCAAAAGACCTACACCAAAGCACTCAAAAGAAACAAATACACACATAAGGTTGACTCTCAGGTTCCCCAGATAACCCTACACGTAGAGAATAACTGTCCTTTTGTCTTCAGGGATAGTAACACTTAGATATATACCACCACCACCTCACTTCCATATTCACAAACTAAGTGTGGAATTTGTTGCCAAATAAGCTATGGTCTTTTCCTCACCCTGTACTTGACTACAGACACAACCCTCCTAAAATTCTTATTACTATTGAGTCTCCACATTTGAGTGTCCCTCTTCATATTTTGCTTTTAGGTAAACAGAATGTAATTCATACCCTTGGAAAAGAAAAGAGGCCAGTTTTCATATTGCATTCTGTTTCAAAGAATATAAGGAAAATCACTTGCCTCCTAGTATCACTAATCTGAATTTAATCCCCACTCTGATATTCCTAAAATGGATGATCACAGGCAATCTTTCTACCTCTCTGGGCCTTAGATTCTGCCTCTAATAAGTGAATTAGACTAAATCAGTGGTTTTCAACATTTTAATTTTTTCTCTGAAATCATATCTGTGAATAAAAACCTCTGCAGAACTTCATTATATAAAATAGCTCCAAAGACTCAGTTTGGATAGAAGAGGGAATCTTCTAGTACCCTTCTTTGGCTCCTACAGTGACCACTACATGATTTTGTTGAACCCTTCCCTAAAGAATACAGTATTAAAGCTATTATGTTACATCAGAGGTTAAGCAACTATGGCTTTGGGACCAAATTTGGCCTTCTGTCACATTCACTTGTTCATGTATTTTCTAGAGCCACCTTAGCTGTACAAGAGAAGCATTGAGTGATTGCAACAGAGACCACATAGCCCACAAAGCCAAATATAAGTACCATTTGGCCCTGGACAGAGAAAGTTTGTTGACCTCTATGCTAAATGAGCTCCACATTTACTCCCTGAACTCACATACTAAGATGGTTTTCTCCAAAAATATTTATACAATGTATAGATTTGCCATGAAAATAATCTTTCATAATTCTGAGTGTTCTGCAAATCCAGATTCACCAACTCATGGGCACAGGCTTCCCTGAGGTTACTGTTCTAGACATGGAGATAGACAAACTTCAAATTAGAAGTTATACATGCTCCAGTTGATTATTTCTGTTTTTAAAACATAGGTCTGTTTTTGTTATCAGCAAAGAGTCTATCTCTCACATATACCTCAAAGACTTTAAGGTCCTATCTAGCATCTGTTCTGTGAGATCAACCATCATGTAAATAACATTTAATAGAAATCATGCTAAACTGAGTGTCTGGAAACCTGGAGTTTAGTCTTAGCTCTGCTACCAACTTCGCTTTGAGATTTTTAACAAGTCACTCTACCTTTCTGGATTTCAATTTCTCCATTTGTAAAACAGGCAAAACAACCTACCACTCACAGCAATGCAGTGAATATTTTTTAGAAGGAAAAATATAGAAATACAAGATTTTTCCAGGAATACATAAAACTGATTGGCCACCTAAAAGTCTATCTGTAAAAGAAGCACAAATGTGTCATGATTTTTCCAATTCTTGTGAAAAAGAAGAATATTGGATACACACAAGTGATTTTAACACTATCAGTTTCCTCAGTTGTTGGATTGGAAGGATGTTTTACAAAGCTACCAATATAAGTTGGCCCCCAACACATTTTCTCAGGAAAGTTGTTTACATTTAGTCCTGGAAAATTATGATATTTAGATGAGCACTCAAGGCAATGTGTTTCAGATGGAATCCTAGGCAAAATCTGTATCTGCCCTGGGGAGGGTAATAAATAGTTCTTTGTATTTCCATAACACCTACCCTTATGGAATACACAGTCCTTTACATATGGATATAGAATCACAAATGTACACAGTGTAGGAGTAGGCACTATCCTTATTTCATGGTGAAGGTAAAAGATACAGGCAATTTTAAATGACAATGCCCAAATTGGAGCTCAGCCCTTACAAGGAAGTTCTCCTTCTCCAAGGCTACTTACCACATTCCAGAAGCTGGAAACAGGATAAGGCTGAAAAAAGGCTGACTAATCCTATAAATTCTGGGTATTCCTCTCCTCTAACCTCTTGGTTCTTCATTTGGGCTGAAGGGACATTCTAATTTGTAAGGCTGTCAAAAGTATAGTAAAATACATCCACATGCCTCTGTGTGGAGAAGCACTAAATTTGCTACCTGGCAAGTTGACATGCCATTTGCAATAGTGTGGAATACATTACAAACTGTCAAAAATTCAGCAAAAAGCTCTGATGAATGGCTTCCTAAGGATGCTCTATCAGTTCTAAACTGCAGCCAGCAGGGAAGTTAGGATAGATACTACACACTAAGGAGGCTGCATCTATGCCTCATCCTTCAGTAACTGCAAGTTGTCCACAGAGCTCAGAACCCAATGGAAGATAGCATAAGTAGATCTGTTTTAAAACCTCATTAGAAAGCAGGATGATTTGTCCCCTACTACTTTGGGCATACCAGTGTTCCATTTCAGTGATGTTCCCCAACAATCTGCACAACAACACACAGTTAGAAAATGTCTGTTGACAAACCACAGGTGGTTGCCCCAGATGATTGCACTGAAATTAATTCTGCTATGTATATATGCTGAGTATATAGTTGGATGAGAGTGAGAGGAAGAGACATTACTATCATGTACTGATTGAATGGGGCAAACAGACAAATAGTGCCACACACAGGGCCTTCTGTATACCTGAATACTTGATACATATTTTAGGGACTTTATTTGGGTATGTAGAGCGGAAAGAGGAAGATTTTATATATACTCACTGTACTTCTCATCTTGTGCACTTGTTTTTCTTTTTCTCTTTTTCTTTTCAGTATAATGGTTCTCGTCCAAGGGAGGAATGGGAAATGTGGCACCCGACTTTGATTGCAGAGGCGCTCTTCGCCATATCCAACATTTTAAGTTCCTTACGTCTCATATCCCTGTTCACAGCCAACTCCCACTTAGGGCCTCTGCAGATCTCTTTGGGACGCATGCTGCTTGATATCCTCAAATTCCTCTTTATCTACTGCCTGGTACTGCTGGCTTTTGCCAACGGACTGAACCAGCTTTACTTTTATTATGAAACCAGAGCTATCGATGAACCTAACAACTGCAAAGGGATCCGGTGTGAGAAACAGAACAATGCCTTCTCCACGTAAGACTCCCCTCCGTCTTCTTTCACCTGCTCCTTTTCTGTCCGATCTTCGCCTCACAGGTTCATCACTGCCTCTTGACAGTGCAGGCAAAGTTCTCTGTGGATCTACCCAAAGGATCAAAGGCGGAAGAAGATCCTTCTCTTTCTTCAGGCAACTAGAAGAGAAATTGGAGTTAGGGGAGGGAGGAAAGAAACACACACATGTGCATGCACACATGCACACAGGTTCCCAGGAACTCAAGTAAAGACTTAGTTCTGTTGGTAACATTCCATATTTTTAAAATAATTAGTGGGGATGGGGAAGATAATTCCTCACTCAAAAAAAGTGGCATCCACCAAGGAAATAAAATACCAAGGTTATTCCTCTGAACAAGTGACTACCAGAGCTACTTAACTATTCTAAATCAAGCCCAAAGCAAAGAAGGATGCAAACTACATCCACATATTCCTTTTCACAGGAGTAAACTAGAAAGGGGAGTCTGAGGCAAGATTCCAGTCAGTTCACCTGCTAGGTTAATTTGAAGATTCAAGTGGGCCAAGGGGTGGCCGGCACTGATTGAAAATGTCTCACATTGCTACTTGGGATACAAGACACAGCTCATGACTCTTTGTCCAGGGATTCACTGCCTCTGAACACATGGAACTTGTATGCCTTTTCTTCTGGTTGTGAAGATATACTTCTTTGGAACTTCAAACCACCAGAATGGCTTTTATTTCCTAAAAAAAAATCAATGTTGGGGAAAATAAACAAGAGAAAGAAAATAAGCACAAGGCAGGCAATTTCTTAGATTAGGAACTTCCTGGGGCTGAACTGGACACAGTGTCCTCTATTTTATCCATCTGCACCCCCATTCTGGAAAGTATGACATATCACTGGTATTCATAACAGTGACCCCAACATTATGCAAGACTCTTAGTCATTAAACTAAGATTCAGATTTTTCTGTTTTTATTTTATTTTAACTCACACATAATAATTACACATACTTATGGGGCACAGTGTGATCCCATACATGTATACTTTGTATAATAATCAAATCGGGCAGTTAGCTAACCTCATCACCTTTATCACTTCTTTGTGGTGAGAATATTCAAAATTGTCTCTTTTAGTTATCTTGAAAAATGCAGTACATTATCCTTATCTACAGTCACCCTTCTGTGTGGTGGCACATCAGAACTTCTTGTTCCTAACTGTACTATTTCCATTGGCCAACTTTTCCCCAGCCTTCTCTCTCCCTACTGTGCCCAGCCTCTGGAAAACAACATTCTGGTTTCTATTTCTATTAGATCAACTTCCAATATAAGGGTAGGTGTCATGCAGTATTTGTTTCTCTGGCTTGTTTCAGTTAACATGATGTGTTTTAGTTCATTCACAAATGACAGGATTTTTATCCTTTTATGGCTGAATAGTACTCCATTGATTTTTTTTTTCCATTTAACTCTATAAAACAAGTCAGGTCAGCAGACTCAGTCATTCTAGATATGTGTTTTTTTCACAAAATCTAGGGGAAAGGAGGGTTTCTGTTTGACCCAAAGTTGCATTGATAGAGAAGGAAAAAGCAATGGTATCTAATCTATGCTATTCTTTGCCCCTAGGAGTGTCTCCCAAAATGAGTTACAATACCCCCCCACACATACATACACACAGTTTAGTGACATGTTAATAGACATGCAAATGGAGTCTGAGATAAAATAAGTTTTGAAAATGCTGGGACAAAGTTAAAAAGGTGTGTTCACTGCAGGACTTCCCAGAGTTCTTCCACTGTGAATCTATGATGTAGGAACAGTTCTTCCCACACGTATTGATATAGATACTTTTCTTCTTTCTTACTTTTCAAATGATGTCTCCAAGATGATATTCCAGCACACTGAATGTGAAAAATGTCTAACTCCATTGCCCAGTGCAGCACTCATCCTCTCCACCAGGCCATAAGCCCATCTGTCTTCTCAGAACTCAGGGCAAAATCTTGGCTGGGAAGACCAGACACACGTGAAAGGAAAGCAAGGCCAAAATGGAGTGGCCAAGACACAGTCCTGTTTGTCAAGCTAACTCCGAGTGTATAATAGAGATTTACCACCTTGCTAGTGCCTCTTGACTAAGAACTGCTTCCTCTCCTGCATTACTCTAGAGACAAAATTTGCAGTAACCTATTTCAATATAAAGTGTAATTTTGTAGTAGCTTGAGCACTAGAAAATCACATTTTTCCCATGCAAGTGTTCAATAGAATTGACCACCTGAATGGAAGGGGCCTTATAGGAGGCTGGATCCTTACTAATTGCCTTTTCATGTGAACTCTGTTGAGGAAGTTTGTGAAATACCTCCTTGCAAGTTTGTAATAGTTATTGACAACCTTGTCACCAACTAACATTTTATTCTCATCACTTTCCCAGCAGGGACAGTTGACAAGAATGAGCACCTGTCATACACAAAATTATATTTGGCCTATATTTGAAGGAACATTTTTGTGATGGAGCCAAATCAGCAGTTAATGTTACCTCAACTTTCTTGCTATAGATTTTTTATTTCCTTCATTGAGGCCTAACTCAGCTTTATGCTTTCCTTTAAACACTTTGATTCAGGCATTCATAATACTGATTAAAATACATGTTACTGACTGGGTGTGGTGGCACATGCCTGTAATCCCAGCATTTGGGAGGCTGAGGCAGGAGGATTGTTGCAAGATCGAGGCCAGTCGGGGGTACATATTGAGATCAAGGCCAGCCTGAACTAATAGCGAGATGCTGTCTCTAAATAAATAAATAACAAACTACCTGTTACTCAGCCAAAGCATCAGAAGTACTCAGCTTTTTAAAGAAGGGAAAGTGAGTATTTTTATATATCTGTTGAAAAGTGTGGTACTTCCTTATTGTCATCCTTTTCCTTATGATTCTCTAGAGATGTCATTGCTACTTTTTGCTTAAGAAAGAAAAAAATGTCCTTTTTCCCTGGGCAAACAATTTAAGAGGACTCCACTGTTCTTGCTGACAACTACATCACAATACTGTTGTCAATCTGAGTTCAGTATTCCATACTGGGAGTACCTACCCTTCGTTTGTTGCCAAGAGAGCAATTAGGAAGGTATCATCATTCTCAGGGCACAGAAATTGTGAGAGAAAAAGGGTGAAAGTATAAAAACACTAACGTGCCAGTCCTGTGTCTCTCTACTGAGGTCCAGGTGTTCATCTCCAGAGGCAGCCTGAACAGGCCTAGCTGTACCACGGACCCCTCAAACACAAAATTTCAACAACTAAATTTCTCAACTTCAATCTTCAAGCCCAAACTATTTCCTCTTTAATTCCTCATCTCATTAAATAACACCAATCTGAATCCTAGCAGTCATCTGGGACTTTTACCCTTACCCTCATAAAACACATCCAGTGTCTCATTCCAGTCAGTTCCACTTCCTAAATAGCTCTTGAATCAATCTTACACATACCGGCCCCCCACACACATACACACCATTGTCTCATTTCATGCCTAAATCATCTCTCCACAGGACAACTGCAACAGTCTCATCTTGTTTTTCCTCCGAAGAACCTCCCACTTGCTATGCAGAAGTTTCTTTCTAAAGTCCTGTCTCTCCATGTCACCCCCTAACTTTATGCTCACCAGTGTATCTTAATCTTACCCATGATTCCAGGCTCTTTACGGTAAAGTTAGGGCTTTGGAAAGCTGGACTGTGATTTTCATCCTTTGGCCTAGCTACATAAAGCGTCTCAGCCCTACAGTCCTTGTTATATAACGTGTCACTTCCTCCTAGCCCATGCTCACCTAGCCAGAAAACTTTTGCCTGGCCTGTTTCTGCCAAAGGAATACTTTCTTTGAATCCTTTTCTTACCTACTCTCAGCTATAGGCATCTTCTGTGTTTCCCATGACATTCTAAGCTCATGTCCAGTGCAATACATAACCTGTTGCATTTTAGTTATTTGTGTCTCTCCCACCAGGCTGAGTCTTCCATCTTAAACTGCTTTGAGCTTATTATAGAGGGCCCTAAAATATAAAGGTATTCAAAATGCCCACTGAATAATTCAGTGAAATGATGAAGTCCAGTAGTAGTTCTATATTTTTAGCTTTTTATTTGAAGATAATTATAGATTTACATGCAATTATAAGAAATAATTCCAATAGAAATCTTTAAATCCTTTATCTGTTGTTCCCTAGTGGTAAAATCTTGCATTAGTGTAGTATCACAACCAGGAAATAAATGTTGACAGATCTAGTGATTTCATTCAGATTTCAACAGTATTACATGCAACTCATTTTCAATTCTATGGGTGGGCCTGGAGCAATCCTATATTTAAATGTAAATAATTTACTTTGCTTCTGCCACCCTAGAATGACTGAAGTTATATACCCAGATCTGTCACTTTGTTGATCCACTTTGAGTTTGCTTTCAGCAAAACGGCCTACCTCCTATCTCTTTCATCCTGTATTTGGGCACTTTGCCTGAGAGCAAATCTCTACATTGATTCCTATTATATTTCATCTTGTTAGTTCCAGCCCATTGCTTCAATCTGTTAAAATCTTTCTGAGTCTTGGTCTTGTCATCCAATTTATTATCTATCCCTCCAAGTCTTGTGTTATCTGAAAATCTAAGAAGCATGCCATTGATTCTCATCCAGAGCATTGATAAAACTGTCAGACAGTTTTGATCTTTGCTGAGTAGGATATTGGGCAGGTATTTAAATGATGCATATGAAGATTCTATATACACAAAAAGTGTCCATATCAAAACTATGTAATTAAAAACACATTTTATGTATTGTGATTATAAATATGTACAACTAGATATAAAATTGTTAGAATTTATAAAAACAGAAAAAAATGTAAAACAACATCAAGGTAGAATATTTAACAATAGTAATAACCAAATGTTTTGGCCAGTCACTATTATGAATCATATTTACATGAATTAACATATTTAATACTCACCACCAGGCCATGAGGTAGACTTTTATTATTACCCATTTACTACAGAGGAGGAAAACAGAATCTAAA